CACACTGCTTTTTTTTTTTTAATTAAGCACCTATATAACATAGAAGCACAAAAGGTTCAGAGGGGTAGCCATGTTAGTCTGCTGCTGAAAAAACTTAAACAGCGAATAAAAGGTGCTGCAGGGCTAGTCATTGTTACAGAAGCACAAGTCACGTTGACACAGTCATACTGCCATCCCTTCTGGGGGTATAGTCACCTTTCCTGACGAGTGGAAGTTTAATATATTGGAGTATTTTGTTGATTGCAAAGGTAGGCCAGGCTATTTGCTTATCAGTTTTGTGTGAGTTTCTGGTGATCTCAGGGTAGCCATGTTAATGAGATTTGATCTCATTCAGCATAGATGGGCACTTTAAGTGTGTAATTTGTTAACAGAAAACTTTGAAATTCTAGCAAGTAGAATATTACAGATACAAGCACAAAACATTCACTCTGGCAAGTCAGTAACATGAGAAAATATGGAACTAGCAACATGTAAATACTTCAGGTTAAATGGAGCAATCTTGATTTGTATTCACCTGGCTACTAATACTTCATGACATGTCATTGCCTTTTCCCAAAACTCTCTGGAATTGTTGGCTGTATATGTTTGCAAAAACAAACCTTGCTTTCAGCTGTGCTTCAAGGTGGACTCTCTCCTTCTCTAGCTTTTCTGGTCTAGCCAAAGTGACAGAAAAGAGACTTCGTTGCTGGTAATAGGAGCCAGGATTTTATTTTATTGAGCTATGAGAAATGCCAGAATCTGTCTCCTCAAACAACATAAATGATTGTGCCTCTTCAGTGTTCTGGGGTTGCACAAACAAACTTTTTTCCCTCTGAGGTAGTAATACAAATAGTTACGCCCCAGCTCTGGGAAAGGAACTTGTGCTGTCTGAAGACTGGAATTCTTATTTAATTTAAATAGCCCCAAACTACTGCCATTCATCAGCCATGGCAAATTCTTCAGACACTCTTTACATTGAATGGGAGTATTTACTCATAGTAGGCTATTGCTCAAGAGATTTTGAAATCAATCCAGGGTGCTAAAAGCTCTTGCTGTCCTCAGTCATACAAAATCCTTTCAACAAGACATGATACACTAGCAGAGATTGGACACTGGACTGTCATTCATGAGTGAGCAGTGGCAGAAATTTTCAAAAGTGAATTGAAAGACTGTTGTAGTGCTAAGAACCCATAAACCGATGTTTTGAGGGGGAGTGAGTCTGAAAGAAGTCTAACATCCAGGGGGAAAGGAGGGAATTTGGGGGTCATGGTTGAGTAACCAGTTGCATAATAGCTCCTAGTGCGGTGATGCAGTGCTGAGTGTTAGTGATGTCCTTGGAGGTGTAAACGGGAATAGCAGATGGGCGTAGGGAGGTGATATTACTTCTCTCTTGGGTATTGGTGAAACCATTAATAGAACACTATGTTCAGCTCTGAGGTTAGTGCTCCAAAAAGGATGTTGAAATTGGTTCACAGCTACAAATAAGACTCATGGGTTGAAAGGCCTGCCAACAGAAGTAAAACATATTACCTCATCCACGTTGCCTTACAGTGAGTAAGTTGTTTTTTTCAATCTGTGTAGTTTACCAAAGAATAAGAGGTGACTTGATCAGTCTGTATATACACGGGGAGAAGGCTTCTGATAGAGAACTAAATTTTGCAAAGGCATAACAAAATCCATTGGCTAGAAGCTGAAGCTATAGCGATGAGATTGGAAAGTAGGCTCCAATACTTGAGCCTACCTTTGGACCATTTTACCAGGGGATGTGATGGGTTTGCCATCACCTGGAGACTTGGACTCCTTTCTGAAAAGATTAAATTCTGGCAAAGCAAGAGCCTGTTGGCTTGATGCAGGAAGGAAGAGTGAAATTCTGTGGTCTGGTTTATGCAGGTGATCAGGCTACGGAATTATAATGGTCCCTCCAGACACTTAGAATTATTAAATTAATAGGCACCCGAATCGGTATTTCAGTACCTTGGCATGCATAAACATTCTTCCTGGAGAAGGTGGCTTCCTGTTGCTGATGAATAAATGACTCAAATCTAAGTTCCTTAGCTCTGTTACTGACATTTTTGAATTCCTTAAGATGAGGGATGTCAAAAATGTTAAAAAACATTAACTGTGTAACCCTTGGCATTTCCA